AAAGTGCTCTCTGTGGTCGGGCGTACGAACGGTTCTTGATCCTCTTCGATCCATAGTTTATGGTGTAATGATCACGTATCAGCAACGCGACGATAAACAGCAGCAATGATTGGATGACTCGGCTGCATTCGGTCTGGAAACGCAATCTTGCGCAGCCATATGTAAAAATCATATCTGCCTGTTCACGATATGAATATCCTGCCATTGTTAAACGGAACACTTCTCATTTAACTCACTACTACACACGTTAAACGTTGAAAACAGACTAGCCACAAATGTACACGAATAACAAATGTAAGCTAGTCTACATAGCAATACAGAACCATCTACTATAAACTTTCTTTAAACTTAATAAGTCAAAAAGGAAGGATTTGCGGACATATGTCTATATGGACTTTTGTCCTTGTTTTGGGGTGAAGAATCCACCCCCAAATGTCGTAAAAGTATTTTTGATAAATCCTATATATATATATATATATATATATATATATGTGTGTGTGTGTGTGTGTGTGTGTGTGTGTGTGTTACGTAATTTTTACTCACTACTTGGTTTTGGGGAAAATTTCGATTTACATTTGATACCAATTTACAGTTTACAGTTTACAGTTTACGATTTACAGTAGTGTAGCAAATAAGCATATTATGAATGCTAACTTATGAGGATTTTTTTTATGTTTGTTGTAGTGAAAATGAAAAGTAACAATAGATTTTCGTAGCCGGAAAAGATTAGCCTCGAAAATTAACATTCTTTCCTTATTTTTTTTTCTTTTCCACCATTTTTAACGCAGCTTTTAACTTGTTTTTGTTTTCCCTTTAAATATCTGTTATCATTCTTTTATTATTGTATTATTCTTTTATTTTTCTAGTATTATGCTATTATTCTTTTATTATGCTATTATTCTTTTATTATTCTTCGCTTTTCTTTCTTACGAACTCCTCTATTTTTCTTTTTTTTTTCACTTTCTCTTCTCGGTATATGGTTCGTTTATTAACATTGCCAATGTCTTTTTTAGGCTTCTCATTCTTTTTTTCCGTTTCTCTAAAAAAAAAAAATGATCCACGCAAAAGGATGCATTTCTATAATATCACCCGACAAACCATTATTCTTACAACTCTACTGAGCAAAATCTCCTTTAGGCTTGATTTTAGCATACAAAATGGCTGCATGTTTTCACATTCAACGCCGTTTTCATCGGATTGGCTCTTAGCATGAGACTGATAACAGCAATGAAGTAATCCTAACTTTAGAAAGAATAACAATTTAGATTTTGGGAGTCCATAAAAAATAAAACATCAAAGTGAAATATAACTCCTCAGTTGTTAATGTGCTTTTTAAACAAGTAAAATTGTTCTTTCGCCTACAAAGTCAGAAAAAGTGACAGACTCAATCTATTAACATTTTAAACTTTTATTTTTCAATTCATTACATCGAACGATCGATGAAATATTAGTGACATTGTTCTTAAAAATATGGATACTCTTAATTTGTTTTCCAGATTTTGAGAGAAAGTCGTTTCCTTTCTGCTCGAAACGAATGCAAGCGTGTCCTTAATGAAGCGAAGTTACTGTTTGCTGTATAGAATTAAACAACGTATAGCAATTTCGGTTCTAGGGATTACTTGCGGCTCTTCAAATGTGTGTTGAACGACAGGAAATCCTCGATCCCTCCTCTATTCAATCAATTCGAAGTCCTAAATTTCACAGCTGATAAGGCGGAATGATTTGCTCGGAATTTTTTCCAACACGTGACTCACCTGGAGTACCCACACCCGATTTTCCTCTACTGAGTGATATGCGAGTAACTCCTTCAGTTTACTGGGAGTAGCGGGGTTAACAGTATCCCAGCCGTCATTCTGTAGAAATGTGCTCCCGAGCGAGCTCCGGTTCTCTCCATAGTGTACAAATATTTTGAGAAACACTTTCTCCCTATGTTTCAATATAGCCCTCGTGATATCAATGCACTTGGTCGAAGTATGCTTAAGCATTGACATATCACCACGGAATATGCTGATATCCTGGTCCTCCACAAAATCTTCCACAGCATATATCGATACTTTCATTCCAGAAAGGAAATAGCAAGTTAAACCACATTTAACTCTCTTGGTTCTCACCTGCATGTTCGACCGATATAGACCACAGGAATCACTTCTTTTGGCTGTACCAGAGCAATGCGTCTGATTGCAACAGATATCGTTTCCTTTCTGCTCGTAACGAATGCAAGCGTGTCCTTAATGAAGCGAACTTATTGTTTGCAGATAGAATTAAACAACGTATAGCAATTTCGGTTCTAAAGACTATTTGCGGCTCTGTAAGAGTGTGCTGAACAGCAGCAAATCCTCAGTCCCTATTCTATTCAATCAATTCGAAGTTCTGACATCTACAGCAGATAAGGTTGAATGTTATGCTCGGAAATTATCTTTCAACACAACACTCGACACATTTGGAGTACCCACACCTGATTTCCCCCACTAGAACTGAAGCTCTACTGAGTGATATGCGCATAATCCCATCACTTTTCTCGGACATCATTACATTCCCATAAGGCAAATGGAGGTGACGGGATCCCAGCCGTCGTCCTATAGAAATGTGCTCCCGAGCTGGCTCCAGTTCTCTCCAAACTCTACAACTTTTGCCTCGCTGCTTCCTGCTTTCTAACTTGTTGGAATTCCTCCTCTGTAGTTTCTGTTTTCAAGAACTCCGGAGAACCTTTTGATCCCACTAACTATCGCACCATTAGTTTCCTGTAGATTTTCGGCAAAGTCTTCGAGACTTTAATCAATGCTGAAGTTATTAAGCACCTTATTTCTCACAATCTATTCTCTAACAAATAATATGACTTCCGTTTTTCTACCGCTGATGTGCTTACGACCATCACTGAATATATATATGTCAAGCTTATGATAATAACGGCGAAGATCCTATCACACGAACGCGCATGTTACCCCCAAGGTTTTATGCTTTATCCTACGCAGTTTCTGATCTTTATCAATGATCTTCCTAATGTCATCAGTTCCCAAGTAGGCATTTATATAGATGACACTAGCATTTAGTCCTGTCTCAATAGCAAATCCCTCAAATCTGATATTGCTATCCTGACCGCTGATCATGAAAAATATCTCCAATAATTGGTTAACTGGGGCAAGAAATAGCTCGTAAATTTGCATGCTTCCAAAACAAAACCGCTCTCATTTAACCACTATTCAGAAAATTTCCTACCCGTTATCACGGGATCCCCCACACCAAAAAACATATAGATTATTTCACAGTCAACAAAATTCTCATTATTGCCTTACTACTGTATAAAAGATACCTAAGCGTTGGATGTATAATTACCTCCCAGTCAAATGCCTCTGTAGTTCCTGTTTTTAAGAATTCTGGAGAACTTTCTGATCTCTCTAATTATCGCCCTATTAGTACGACTGTAAATATTGTAAATAATAATTACTCCTCATAATAAATAATAATTACTCCTCATAATAAATAATAATTACTCCTCATAATAAATAATGATTACTCCTCATAATAAATAATGATTACTCCTCATAATAAATAATAATTACTCCTCATCCCCAAAATTATTTTTGTCTCGTCTGTTTCGCATTCTTCTTTTACTTTTTAAAGCGTTTATTTCTTCAACCCTTAAATAAAACTTGTAATGGATCAAAGAAAATTCGCTTCGTTTAAAAATAAGTAGAAAAAGCAACTCATCCAAATACAGGCCATACAAATATTAAGCAACCCATAAATTATTTTAATTTTTAAAAGAAAATTGGCTGCATATTAAATAGATTACTGACTGAATGGAGAGAGTTTAAACAAATTCTAGTGAAAAAAAATGGCAACGACTTTCAGATACAAAGTGATGCTGGGGAGAACCATCGCCGCTTACGTCCTGAAGGGAAAAATCAATCTTTAAGAAATGCTTTGGGATAATTTTTATATGCAATCATTTAGATCTCTTCGTCGTGGTTCAATAGTTCGACCACTTATGCAGTGAGCCTGATCATTATTCGATGTCCTTTACTTTTGGCCTTGTGCCGGTCTCACCTGTGTTTTATATATAATCATTGCTACATACTTCCATATATACAATATCTTAAAGAATCTAGGCATACTTATTAATAAACATAATGTTTATGTAAATTCCAAGATTAATAACAATAATAACAGCAAAAAATTGCAATATGAGCACTGGTAAAAATAAATGGTTGCTGAAGACATTAGGTTTATAATACCCAGAAATTCATACACAAATGTCCTTAAGGATGGCACAGTGGATAAAGGCTTTGGTTAGATCAAGTAACAGGACCCAAAGAGTGTGAGTTCAAAACCCGGTTAAGGCAGTGGAGAACTTTCAGAGGGAAATGAACAGGAGATAACTGACATCCATTAAATATAGGTTTAGTGAGCGAAATAAAGGGTTATTTTCGACATTCCAACCAACTGAAACGTTGTAATAAATATGGCAACAAAGATGAGGACAATAGTCCGAATAATGTAAATAATGTACATAATACCTCAACTCAGAAATATTATGTTATTCTACGTTTTCTAGTCCTTGCTCATTTCGTCCTTTGGAAATACCATTTAATAATAGAACGCCATCTACCGGATGAAACATATACATGAAGAAGAGATCAGCGAAAATTAAATGTTCAGGAAGGAAAATATTAATAGGAAGAAATCGAAGATTAATGATAATGACTAATCTCGGGTACATCAGCTAGTAGCTACTTTCCTTAAATGCAGAGCACGTAGTGAGAATCATAATCACTTCAGTATTGAGGAATTAGATCGCTACCCAATATGTCAATATTACTTATCATTAATGCTATTATTGTTATTTATTAAGATTAGCTTGCTTTGACATAAAAATTACTAGAATGGAGCACCTAGTGTGGATCGAAATCACTACACAGCAATAAATATCAAACACGTTAACTGGTTAATTTTTTATTTCATGATCTTCATTATTACAAATTATCTTTGGTATATTTCAGGACGAGAAGAATCAAGTATTAACAACAAATGCTTGGCTGAAACAGGTGAGAGTTAACCTTTCGGAATTTAACTTTATTTTTCACAATCTTTCAATGAATAGAATAAAGATGTTCTTGATAAAATAAAAATATTTTCGATGAAACAAAAACAAATCTTGTAAAATATAATCGAAACTAGAAATTCAACTAAATGATAACGAGTCAAAAATTTCCTTTTGATCATTTGGTTAAATTTCAATTCGAGAACTTTTCAACAATCGTATTTTATTTACTCTGCAGCCATTACAAGTTAAATTAAATTTTATTTTCTGATTTTCTTTTTTAATATGAAGACCAAACGTTAAACATTGACAAAGATTATCAGAGGAGAAGAGTTCTTGTCTTATATCTTAGGCATTTACTTTTGAAAATATCTTTGATGAAACTTTGTAAAAATACTTTATTTGACCAATAATTGTAGCTGATGTAGTTTTCTTTTCATAATTACAGATATTTTTAAATCGGTAACGCCCTATGAAAAGGAGTGCGGCCACTAAGACACAAGGGTTACAGAATGTGAAAGAATTAGGAACAGAAACATTAATAATGAGCGGAAAGAGAAAAGAGTAATCAGGAATATAGTAGAAGACGATTGACATTAGATTTAAATTATTGCAGATTAAAGTTGGCTGGAAATATACCAGATAATAACAGCAAATTTGTGTGTGTGTTTGTGTGTACGCGTGTGTGTCTATGTATGTGTGTGATAAATCGTAATAAAAAGACTTTGATGCAATTAAATATTACTTTATCACAAACTTTTCATGCTGTGTTGTTGTGGATGATAAAATTTGACGACAAGAACAAAATGTCTTTGGTGTTAAAATGCAAATAATAATAAACAAAATATCTGTTTACGCTGACAAAACAATGAAAATGAAGGCGATAAAAAAATGAGGAAATATCAAAATCTAGCTAGAGGACTGAAATATTAAGACGAAAGTAATACTTGTAATCAGCGGAGAACTAGGAAGCCTTTTGCAAAGAAATTAGAAGAATTTATAAACCGAAAAAAAATGGAAACTGTTTTGATGTCAGCAACTTTGGAATCCGGTGTTCTTCGATTTATGATTTCAAGAAACGTGTACTGTCGCTCGAATAAATTATGGTTAATAATGATAAAATAAGTAACTTTTATGGTTTTTATAGGAATGGTACGATTTGCGGCTTACATGGAATCCTGATGACTTTGGCGGTGAGACAGAGTTACATATACCGTCAGAAGAGCTGTGGATACCGGACATTGTCGTATATAACAAGTAAGTACTGACTGGTGCCTACCTTCTAACGGGGGGGGGATCGGCAGGGGTTAGTAATTTGGCCCTAAAGCCCAAACTCGCTGCGATAATCAGTTTGGTTTTAAACTGATATGGATTTTGTGTTTAAAAATTTTCTATATTTATGGTGGGGGGGTGGTCAGTAGCCAGTATCGGAGATCGAGTGTTTGTAGATATTGACAGCGTCGAGATGGTGATCAACACGGCATGTTGCTTGTCAGTTTCACGCCCCAAGCGAGTTTCAATGGATTCTTTCTCGGAAATTATTTTCTATTATTCTAAATGTTATTTTCTGGAGACCCATGTTTGAGTAGATGACCATTTTCTTTTTAAATAGTGTGAATTATGTCTACCAACCTGTGTAATCGAGACACTTAATAAAGGAATAGCGAGCACACTTTCTTTATTAAATCTCTCGATTGTGCAGGCCGGTAGGCGTAATACACCCTTTCTAATTGATCTCTTTAGCTCTAAGTTGAAATGATGATCCCTCTTCCTGTTGTGACCTCCTGATCAAGTTTTCCTCTCTACTGTTCCCTCTTTTTCAAACCTACTCACCGTTCTGTTGGAATGGAAGCTAATGAATGTTAGTACCATTAGTGAAGGCCTGAATGATCTTTTACCTGTCTCATTCCTGATCTTTTTGCTCAGTTGGGAAGTATGTCTGGCACAAAACAATTTTAACCTGGTCTTATTTTTGCTGAATAACTAAAAGGGTTTTCAGTGATACTTACGAAAAATGATGTCTTATCTAAAAACATGGAACAAAGAAACTCATTTAGTTTCGTGGTTTTTTAGATATTAAATTTTTTAGATATTAAATGACATGAATAAGTATGTGGTTACACGATTTGGACAATTTTGCTGTTAAACCCTGTATATATATATATATATATATATATATATATATATATATATATATATATATATATATATATATATATATAAGTGAATATTGAAGTCAACACTCGGAGGCGACAGGCTGTTTCATGCTGTCGCCTCTGAGTATTGACTTCAATGTTCACTTTTTATTTTTATATTTACATACGTTCTATCTCTGATATTGCGGACTTTATCCCATAAATATAGCACACCTTAATACTATATTTCTTCATATATATATATATATATATATATATATATATATATATATATATATATATATATATATATAACGCGAGCAAGGAATCAGCTTTTATTGTCGAAAAATATAGGCATGCTGATCATGAAATGCGTTAAGAAAAAACGGCGAACTTGCAAGATGTCCTCCCAAAAATGTATTAACTCCACAGCGTCTATAAGCATTTTATAATAAAATGAATTTTAATTTATGTTATTAAAAGGCTAGGAGTTGAGTGAACAGTTAGACAGATGGGAAATAGTTTCGGCTAAGCGAATTCAAATTCCGGCTGAGGTAGCTTATATTCTCTTCATATTAATATTGTTGAGCAAAACAAGAATCTACTTCTCCCAACTATTAGCTTACTCCTTGCGGGTGGTATTATGTAACCCAATACAATCTGTTGCTTGGAAAAGTAATGTCTAGTCACTACCTCTATTGACCTTTTAAATGTCAATGACCCAGTATGACGCCCCAACAATTTGCCAAATCATGGGATCATCATTTAATCTATCATTAAATATACTTTTTAATTATTAAAATGGGATCCGAAAAGATCATTGTTTATACAGCCTTCCAAAGCTGAAAATTATTTAATTTTTAATGTCGTTTTAATTTGCAATTAAAAAGAAGAAAATGGATATATTCACTAGAATCAGAATCTATAAATCGCTTATTCAATAATGTTTAGAAAAGAAGATTAAAAATAATTTATAATCATTTTTGTAATATTTTTCCACTAAAATCTTACCAATTATATTTTAGTGCCGATGGAGATTTTGTGATCACCATGTTGACCAAAGCAACCGTATATTACGACGGCCGCATATCTTGGGAACCTCCAGCCATTTACAAAACATACTGTCCCATCGATGTAGAATATTTTCCCTTTGATACTCAACTCTGTTTTATGAAGTTTGGTTCCTGGACCTATGATGGCAATCAAGTAGATTTGATTCACTTTTGTCAGAAGTTTGGTACGACCAACGAGAATGGAAGCATCTTCAACACGATGGGTATTGACCTAAAAGGCTATTCAGAGAACAGCGAATGGGACGTACTCAATGTAACAGCAACCAAAACGGATAAAGTTTACCCGTGCTGTCCTGAACCCTACCCAGATATCACGTTCAGAATAAAGCTTCGGCGAAACCCACAGTTCTATGCAATGAACCTGATCGCTCCTTGCGTGTCCATCTCTTTCTTGACCGTCTTGGTCTTCTACCTGCCGTCAGTGAGTGGTGAAAAAATGACCCTATCCATATCTATCCTGCTCGCCATGACAGTGTTCTTCATGTTGCTGTCAGAAATCACCCCGACTACGTCACTGGTTATTCCACTGATTGGCAAGTACCTTCTGTTTACCATGTTGCTCGTGACTGCATCTCTTTTACTCACCGTCTATGTGCTCAACCTCAACTACCGCACGACAACGACGCATTCCATGTCCGACTGGGTACGTCTTTACTTCATGGAGAAGCTACCCACCTTTCTCAACATGCGCCGGCCACAATTCGACGACGACGGAGACATGCAACCGGGCAAGATGTCTATTCACACGGTGGACGGCTTCGAGATGCGCGAATCATCCGTCGACTCACGCCTGAGTTCGCTCAACACTCGGGCCGATGTTCATACGTATGAAAATATGCAACATACGCATCAATATCAGCATCCGATTGATGAGCCGGATCCGGGCAAATTGGAAAAAAACATGGAGTCGATGGAAGAGTTTGCCATCCGGGAGCTTGAGGAACTAATAAGCAATGTCGAATATATTGCAAGCACCAAAAAAGACGTGGAAGAAGGACAAGAGGTAAGTAAGGACAAAATGCAATGTACACGGTTTTCATTAGGGAAGGCAATTTTGTTTTATAAAATATGATAAAAACTACACAGCAATAAATAATATGATTCATTTCGTTTATAGATTTCTATTAAGTCAAATATGCTGGATTTTGGAAGTGATAAGTAAAATATACGACATCTGAAAATAACACAGTCGTTTAATATTAAAGAATAAGTGGCCTACTAAGGGCCATGGTACCTTAGTCTTTTTCAAACTACTCACTTCATTCACATCTCTGCATTTTTTATATTTTCTCCTGTCTGAAAAAGATTCTCAGGAATTGACAACACTTGTCTTGATCTCTTTAATCTCCTCCAATGTCTGAAATCACTCCACTTTCAACGCCGATTTTAGCTTCAGGAAAAGCCAGAAGTCTGGAGGAGACCAATATGGAATGAAATCGAACTGACAATCGTGGGTGAATGCGATATTCTACCAAAATATCTATCAATATAATTGACAATCTAAAAAAGTTATATAGATTTTACAGATTGACAATATTAAATATTATATAAAAAATACCTCACTAAAGGAGAGCGAACATGTCTCATGGTCGGTTTAATAAGGAGCCTTACAATATTTTTTTAATATCAGTAAGACACAACTACTTAAGATCCGTTTAGATGGGCACTAAATCAGCAATTATCGTCCAGTCAATAATTTCCTTGCTACAATCTAATATTTAGCGGTATTTTTCAGTTAAAAAAAAACATTGCAATACTATTCCATGTTAATTTAAGATGATTTAGAATTGCAGAGGTAAATGTACACAGGAGACCCGGTGGAGTAATGGATAGCGGCTCGGATTAAGAAATCGGAGTTCGAATTCCAGTCAAATCCATTACATTCACTTACTTGGGAAAGGTATGAATCCCTTTATTCTCCCCTCAGCTATGGGTAACTAGCTGGACAGACCGGGTTCTTGGATGGCAACTGGTTTACCTCAGAAAGAAATGGCAACCTGTTGCGGTAAAAAAATCTGTCTCGACAGTCATGTATCGAAAGATACATGATCGGCTAAGCGTGTATAACCCATGGCATATAACTAACTGAAATACTAACAATTTAAATTAGCGATAGAAAGTGCGGATCAGAAATGATTTCACATGTAGCGTGCGCTAAAAAATGTTTACTTGCTGTCTAAATATTTCCAGCTTCTTTTTATCATTGAAAATGTCGACGATAGTTTTTACTTTTCATACAGGTTGATTCTAAATAACCATTTATGCTTTGGATTTCAAAAGATGCCAAATGCTTCTCTAGTCGATGCTGTCAAGCGAAAAGCCTGTGCCTAGCTAAAGTTAATGCAGTTTATTTGTATCTTTGCATGTCTCTTTTCAAGAGCTCGCCAAAAAAAGAATTCTCTTCGCGTGGTAAAACATCTTTGGTAGGCAAAATCGACTCCAGGGTGAAGTAAGCCTTCCATTCCATATCGATTACTCCAACCAAAAGTTCAAACAAAACTGCCGGACAATGACCAAAAGGAAGTTTTACGCTGGGGGTGATTTTCCACAAACAATATTTCCACATTATGGAATAGAAACGCTTTACTAAACACAAAATTGAAATATTTCTATCGAGCAACAGAAAAGAATGCTGTTCGATTTACGATCATACTTGTTAGTTTATTGATGTGCATATTATTATTATTATTATTATTCGACAGAACTTATGATTGGCTATTTCAGGATATTCAAAAATAGGGTAAGTTTCAGACAGTTATTTCCTTCTTACTTACTCGCCCCCTGAGATTAGTGAGAACAATTCAAACTGATCCTCAAACCTGATAAAATGTTATTCATTCCTTGGTAGGTTTTCTTTTAAATTATAAGGAGATGCAATCAGAATTATCCTTTTTATTATTTCCATATTTTCATGTTAATAACAAAATTCCGATTGCAGTCGAATAGGGTTATTTTTCTTGAATTTGTTTCTGTTTTTTCCTTCCTCATAGAGTATCTCCCAGAATCCCTTTTCTTTGTACCAAATAAACAGTTCTGGTAATATTCACTATCGAAATCTCAAAGTCCTATTTCTCATTATTATAATTCTATTTTATTATTCTCGTTGTTGTCATTCTTTTCTATCATGTCAACTATTATTCGACTTTATTCTGTAGAACAGTTAGTCTTTTTTTTTTTTACAGAGGATGAAAGTGTAGTATCTGCTCGATACCTGACCCTTTTGAATTAGAATCAGTTACGACCGAGAAACTTACCTAAGATTAAGCGGGAAGGGATAAGGAAATGTTTAGAAGAGGAAAATGGATAAAGTTGGGAGGGGAGGAAAAGAAAGTTAAAGGAAAAACGGAAAGGAAAATCAGATGAAAGAAAGAAAAAGAAATCTACATACATATAGAGAGAGGGGAAGGAGTGAAGAAGAAAGAAAAAAAACTTTGATGGTTGGATATGGCGGAGACAATGGACGCATCACTAAAAAAGCATTTAGTAAAGAGAAAGACATAGAAGATTCCAATACGGTAAAACCTCTGCCAGCCGCAATGATGGAGAAAGCCTTACCTCGAACCATCGCCAGTGAGACACGCTGCAAGAGCCACTCCGTTTCGCGGGGCTTGTCCCTTAATCGAGACGCCATCGAGCCAATCCTCCGAAGAAACGCCATCGAACGAGGGTCAATAACCCCAGAAGTCTCCACTGCTACAGGAGTAAAAAAAAAATCTATCAGCAAGAGAAGAATATTTAACTATTTTTTTCCATCTCTGCGTCCCGGACCCCGGCTCAAATGCGGACCTGATCAAATTATCGGCCGAAAATGTATCCGCACAGGTCGCATCTCAAATCAACGACTTCCCCATTTTAAAAGGGAAAATGGTAATGCCATCCGGCCGCTTTCCATCACCACGGTCGAGGCCTACGAGTTCGATTTGGGAAGGGAACCCAACTGCATCCAAACCTCTTTTGATGATGTCGTTTATTGCTGCATACCTTGGAAAGCGGCCGGCACTACGACGACAGGAGAGAGGATGCAAATCGAACTCATCAATGGAAGCTCCGCATCTGCATCTGTGACGCTCACATAATTACGGTAAAATGACTTTGTAGTGTAAAGAAAAAATTTAAAAAAAGATTCAGTAGAAAATATATGTAAGTTATTTTTTCATTTTTCATTCTATATTAAATAATGGGAATGAAGATTAGAAGAAATAAGGGAGAGATTAAGAAGATACAGGAAAAAGGGGGGAGACAAAAATAAGGCATAAGTTAATAAGTCATATTTTTATCAAAGATTTTAATTTCGCTGTAATTATTTTACTTTTACCTATCGTCCAGTTCACACTCACCGCAATCTTTTGAACAGGAGTAGAGGGTTATCCCTTGCTTCATATTTAGATTTTGGTTTCCGGTTACTTCTGAAGTCTTCTCCTCCTTTTTCACTTGAAGCAGCTCCTTACATCTTAATGGCGTTATCGTCTTGCTTGCAGTGAACTCATCAAAAAAACAAAAACTGACAAATATCTTTAATAACTTAACCCTTTCCTCGCCACTCATAGCGATTACATTTCATTGAAATATTTGGTTTAATTCATTCTGTTTTTCCTTAAATTTCTATTTTTCCAATCTTTTTTTTTTCTTTGAAAATGACTTTGAGGTGAAGAACTCCAGTAATTGCAATAATACTTATGGTCTTCATATTCCGCAATTTGATATCGAAAATATTTAAATCTTTTTTTTTTTTTTTTTAGTTTCACGTTACGATTTGTTGAAATGGTTAAACACACTGACAAATCTTCTTTTCTTTGTTTACGATAAATAAAATATTTAGATTCTAATCATTGTTATTAAGAAACTATTTCACTAAATAATAATAATAATAATAATAACAGCAACAAAAACGCAACCGACCAGATACAGAAACGATGGCAAGATAAACAGCTTCATGGCCAATACTCTGATGTAGACAAACTCCATAACCATCAGTGGCTACGTAGTGCAGGGTTAAAAGCTGAAACCGAAGGTTTTATCCTTGCTGTACAGGATCAGTGCTTATTAACTAGAAATTATCAAGCACACATACTAAAATATAGTGTTAGCCCCAAATGCAGGTTCTGTGATAATTACCCAGAAACAATTGATCATCTTGTATCAGGTTGCACGGTATTGGCACCCACCGAATATAAAACCCGTCATGACAGAGTGGGCCAATATCTGCATTGGAAAATCTGTAACTTCTATGGAAGGAAACTGAAAGAAAGTGGTATGAACACCACCCAGATCCGGTTACGGAGATAGGGCCTGTTACAATTTTCTGGAATTATACGATACACACAATCAAAGCTAAGCGCCCAGACATTGTTATTAGAGACCGCAAACAAAAAAAGTGCCTCCTTATTGATATGGCAGTCACTGCAGACTGAAATGTATCTTTGAGGATCTTCAAAAAGTTATCAAAATACAGGTAGCTTGAAATCGAAATCTCAAAAATGTGGCACATGAGAATATCAACAATACCTGTTGTAGTTGGAGGCCTCAGATTGGTTAGAAATGATTCCAGTAGACTAATTGAAGGGATTCCTAAAAAGAAATACAAAAAATTGTTCCCACGAGTACAGCCCACACCTTACGATGGGCTTTATCTATGTAAAATATGTTTGTGTGTTCTTTTTTTTTTTCTTTTTTTTGTTCAGTGAGAAATGTGATGATGCCATTTCTAACCTTAGGTCTCTGGTTGGGACCCGGAACGAAATCAAAGGAAATAAAATAATAATATCAGTTCGAGAGATTGAAAACGATCAACAATGAAGACTAGTAGGTTAGATACAATGATTGGAATTAATGTCTTGATCTTTCAGTGTGTGGATAGCACTCTTCTAGCAGACCTAATATCTGAATCTTTCTTGAAATTAAAAGAAATGATGGAATATGAAGTTGACAATTGTTCACATCATTATCAATGAGCGTTGAACAGTGATGGAGAAGTTTGCAAAGTTTTCAAGAACTGGGAAGCCAACAAAAATTTGAAATCATCAGACAACGTGACTAAGAAGACTTTCTGTCACTCGATCTTTCCCATTTCGTCTTGAATTTTATATCGGACTATATTTCGCTTCAAAGATTAACAAGTTTTATTCTTATAGACAAGCATTTGTTTTGTTTCTTAGACTTAGTCTTATACCTAAATATTGTAGAACATCTCTAATCATCTATTATTAATTATTGACGATTTTTCTTTCATCTTAATTTAAGTTGCTTTTCATCGCCTCTACCCTGACCATCATTTTGTGTCATTGAGTAAACAGTGCTGATCAGGCTCAAAAAGCAAACTCCATAGCGAGAATCGAACTCAAATCAGAAAGTATACCTATTAATGATAGCTACTCTACCGATTAAACTACCAGAACTTTTAAGGTTGGCAAATAAAATCTCACCCATAAACTATTTATTTCCATATTGTTATTGCTTTTTTGACTCGTATAAAGAATGAATTAAAGGGTTAGATTTGATCTTCTGACAACCATAAAAGTTCTTGTAGCCTAATCAATAGAGTAGTTGCCATGTGTATTCAGGCGTCCAGAAGTAAAATGACTGTAAGGTCAAGTTTTATCTGGATCTTTACTATTTATTCACTGTTGTATACTGAAGGTCTGGGTAAATTGCGAACAAAAGCAACTAATATTAAGATAGAGCTGTTAACAACAATACCATGTTTATAAATTAAATGAATGTATGAATATTGTTTCTAATATATGTTTCTTGT